GGGGGGTCAACAGTGGGAGGGCTTCTAATGTCCTGGCCCCACTGCTGGACCTCCTGATGGCACTGGTATTTCTGGCCACTGTGTGACACAGAGTGTTGGACTGGATGGGCCTTTGGCCTGATCCAACATTGGCGTCTCTTATGTTCTTATGTATCAGGGCTCAGAGGCGCTTCTATAAACATCCTCCCTGCCCCAGGAGGAGTCGCCAGAGCTCACCGTGAGGCTGCTGTCCAGATGCAATGAAGAGATGCCCAGGCACATCCTCTCTGTCCTCTGGCTTTGCTGGTGAACATGGGTGGTTGGTAGGACTGAACTCCTCAGATGGCGCCGGACAGAAACATCTTATCTCGCCCAAACTGGAACCGGCAAGCCTGGCTGCCACGACTTCTCCCTCTGTCCTCAACAATAGCATTCAGTACCTGGGTAAAAGGGGATGTGGGCTAGAGCTGGACCAGGCCTGACGGAAGGGCGTCCGGCTGCTGCCTCTTCTCCCACCAGCCTTGTTGATGGTGGTTGCTGTCTGGTGGGAGGGGAGCTATCAGTGGGACATGGATACAAACTTATTTTATTGCCAGATAAGAACATAAGACCATAAGAGAAGCCAATTCACTGCCACAGGAAGTGGTGGGTGCTACAAGCATGGACGGCTTCAAAAGGGAATTAGATAAGCATATGGAGCAGAGGTCCATCAGTGGCTATTAGCCACAAGGTATAGCTAGGGGCTCTGGGGCAAGTGATGCTCTGTCTTCTTGGTCCTTGGGAGGGCTTCTAATGTCCTGGCCCCACGGGTGGACCTCCTGATGGCACCTGGTATTCCTGGCCACTGTGTCTTCCGATCTGTTGGACTGGATGGGCCTTTGGCCTGATCCAACATTGGTGTCTCTTATGTTCTTAATGTTGGATCAGGCCAATGGCCCACCTAGCCCAACACTCTGTCACACAGTGGCCAAAACTACTAGGTGCCATCAGGAGGTCCAGCAGTGGATGTGCTAGAGAGATGACTGGCGGCTCCCTCTCCTTCTCCCTCTGCACTCTCTTCTCGGCTGCTGTACTACACCAACTCTCTCTGCCTGTTCCACCCTAGGGCTGCCAGCCACTCCCGGTGGAGGTGGGGGCATCCCTGTCACTAGGCCCCGCCCACCCACGATCAGCTGACCAGAAGGGGGGACTTACCCGGAGAGGGGGGGGGAGGGAGGCCCAGGCTACATTGCCTTCAAGGAGCAGGCTGCACTTGGGTTCAGTGCTGGATTTGTTTCCTTGTCTCATCATTTGCCTTCCGAGCACATTTGCTGGCTCTCGGACAGTGAGGATGCCTTAGCATCTACCCTCGTGGCAAGTGTTTCTCAAAGCGTCTGCTTAGAAGGAATCCATTTCCCCAGGGCTCTTTTTTGTAGAAAAAGCCCAGCAGGGACTCATTAGCATAATAGGCCACATCCAACAGCAGGAACTCATTAGCATATTAGACCACACCCCTGACAGCACAGCTCATTAGCACATTAGGCCGCACCCCCATGTTACCAGAAGTGTGGTCATCCAGCCACACCCACCTTTTGCTTCTTATTCTGTTTACCTTGTTTGTTGTCAAAACCCAGGACCTTTTTTTGGTAGCAGGAACTCCTTTGCATGTTAGGCCACACACCCCTAATGTAGCCAATCCTAATGGGTTCCTGCTGTTGGGTGTGGCCTATTATGCTAATGAGTTCCGGCTGGTCGTGGCCAACTCGGGAGCCAGCAGGAACTCCGTTCCTGTGTGTTCCTGCCCAAAAATAGCCCTGCATTTCCCACTAACTGATCTGTTGAGGACCCCTTTCATGTCCACGGCAGAAGCCTCGAGTGTGTTGCAGAGGATTCTGGGGCATATTTTGGGGCTCACGCTCTGCAGACATGGAACTTTGCTCAGGCTTGTGCCTCTCTGTTGGCCAACGTGAGAGGGGAGGTGGAGGAACCCAGGACTCTTTACCAGGCCAGAGGATTTGGGGGGGGGGCACACTGGTTCGTGAATTTCCAGGACATCGTCTGTGGGTTGGAACCAGACTCAGTTTGCTGCTCCAGCAAGGGACTTCCGTCAGTGGGGCAAGACTTCCCTCCCCACCCTGGCAGCC